CTATACCAGAACGGACATATTTTGCATCTAACTCAACCCCATGCAACAAAAATTGATACTATGTGTTCATTATGGTCCATTCTTCCTCAGCGAACAAGTACATAAGTGACAATATAGTCAAAGACGAGAAAACTGCACAAGAAATTTGCCTTATTTACACGTATCGGCAATGCAAGCTGCCATGCGACTTCCCCTTCTGACATCACAAGGGGAATTTCTGTATGCAAATGAGAAGCTAATGAGGAGCCTCGTTTTAAAATACACAAAAATAAAGTTGCCGTAGACTGACTTTAAAACACATTTTTTCACTTAAAAAAAATTCATGCTTAGAAACATAAAAATTAATAATATTTATGTATCAATTGATAATTTTAGGCGCGAAAATAGCAGCCATTTCACAGGCACTTTAAAACCTCGAGATAACCATGTATTGTTATATGTCTGTGTTGGTAAAATGTAAATAAATAAATGTAAATAAATGAAGACATGACAGTATGTTGGATCAAACTTAGAATACTATAACATTGTTAACAATAAAGAAATAAAAAACAAACACAACGTCTAAGTTCGCGTAAAAAAAGTACAGTCATAGTAAAACCGGTGATATTTATCCAGGACAACTTTTACATGCAATATCCTAAAATCATCATCAACACAGATGACGGCCTTAAAATCGGTCCTTCCCGACTTTGCAAACACAATCGCAAACGATGAAGTGCACATATTTGATTTTTCGTTTACTAGTATACGATTGTACCGTACCTTCAGCAAGACCACAAAATTTCAAACTCTGTAAAGCCTCGACCGTATCGCCTGGATCAGCCATGTTTGTTTGTTTCCTCGCTTTATCGATATTGCGTTTTTGTTGAAGTCGTCCGTACCCGCCAAAATTCAAGTTTTGGGCGATTCCATTCTAACATAAACAGGGGACGTACCATGCCATGTTTTGTAGAGGCGCATCTCAAATATACTTATACAAACACAAATTATATACATAATAATTCCAAAACTTATAAGCTGATACAAGCTATCTACATACAACGTATACGAGGCTTGTCTTTATTATTGAGAGTAAATTACTACACCAATACATCTGAAACGTAATGAACCAATCCTGGGTTAAAGGTGAAGGTCGTGAGAAAGTAACATTTTATGTGCCATGAATTTACTACAGTGCATATTCTTGTTTTTAACTTTGTAAAAGATGTTTTAATTGCGATAAACCATGCTGATAAAACGAACAATTCGTTGAGCATCCACAAAAGTAGTAGACGGGGGCACTTTTGGAAATGACGTCATTGGGTTGGTCAATAGGCCCCTGCAATGAAGATTAAGAAATCCCGTGGGCAATTCCATTTGATAATTAGTAGGGGTGACCAATTACGTCACGTATAAACAAAAACGCTGAAAAAACAGTGTCAAACCCCGGTAGTACTTAGAAACATAAAAACTAATATTCTATATAGTTATTTCACGAAAATTGATTATACAATGTGAAAACGATAAAAAAATGTGCGTTCCTGGACAGCTTATCTTTACTGCCACAGTGCTTCCACCCCCTTTTGTATGTAGTACTTCGGTCCAGTGTATGTAAGGCACGCTACATGACGGTGAGTGCATTCTGAATATTATTTTCTGATAAAATTTTACAGGGAAAACCTCTGAAAGACTGTGAAAACAGGACAGCAAGGCTTATTTCCCCTGCATTCTTTCCAAAATTGCATAAACCGATGCAGTTTTGGGCGTTGCGGGCGAGCAGCGAGGTTAGCGAACTCGCCGATGCATCGACAAAACAGACAACGCCAGCCCTGGCTGATAAAAAATACGCCGTCGAATACGGTCACTGAGACCAAGGGAAATTCGCCTGTAGTCAGCCTACCCGACAGTTAATTTCACAATCCTGGGAGATCTATGATTTGGGTGGTCGGTTCCTGTTGACAAACTGGCTTATTTTGTTTGGTATAAATAAGTAAACGATTGCGCGACTGAGTCGAAATCAACGATTGGGAAAAATCGTCATAAAATTTACGGCAACAAAAGGGACTTCACTTCCTGTGAATTTCGCGACTTTAGTTTTCCTTAATCGCTTTTAATGTGAAAGAATTTTTCAAGAGGGAAGTCACTCTTTGCTGTTGTATACTATTTCTAGAATTTTAACATTCTTTTCTTAGAGTAGTGTCGTTTCTAGTGGGTTTCAGAGTCACGCGTAATCGGGACGACGCGGATTTTGTTGTAGCTGTATATCGTTTTGCATCGCTCACAAATGCACTGTTTCGACAACCAGCATTTCTCCTGAACGGATATAATGACGGCTCATTCTCGCTGCTCGCCTTTCAATGCCATTTGGGTTTGCATTGCGAAAAGCCGACCCAGCCCAGCCGCCTAATTATAGTCGGGGATAGGCTATGAAACCATGGATCAAGTGCCATATTGTACATAATGTATTCATACACGTCACCAGTGTTTATTGCAATTCTGAATTGATGTTCTCTGATTGGCTGGGCTGTTACAAATGACCTCGCTGAACTCAGCATGTATTTACCATTTATGTAGATTTTCACCATACAATAGTGAGAATTTACTTTGCCTCTATCATGTGATTTGCGTTTAAATACCATTCATGCCCGTCTCTGTCAAGTAAATGCCAAACTGTTTTATTGTGAATTAAATGTTGAATGTTGTTAATGATCTACCAAAGCAAGTTGTTGAGATAATTCTGAAATGGCTACTTGCCAAGCATTTGTCAGTTCATGATGTATTGGCATGCGCTCGGCAAATTCCATTGCCTAACTTGGCTGTTTGAAATAGGAAGCTGGAAGTTGTCACTAATGCTCAGCTATTGTTGTAAATTGTCCCTTGCTAATTGGGATGCCAGATGGTACTAATTCAGCAACTGTTGCATTATGATAGATATATTATATGCTAAGCAGTGTGTGTGTGTCTGTGGGTGTGTGCATGCATGCATGCATGCTCGCTCTTTTGAAGCAGTATGTTGCAATGAAACATTTTATTTTCTTTCCTGTGACTAACATGCAGATCCACATTGATCACTTTTGCCTCTAATACAGCCATGGACTGCACATAATGAAAATAAGTTTTTGTGATTGTAAAATAATAAATTCCTAACTTGTATGTTAGTATTTTATTTTCTAACTGCAACTGTTTGGCTGGATTTCACCTTCACTGTTGTGCTATTTTTATGAAAAAGAAATGATTTGGCTGATAGAATATACATCTAGTTTAAAACAGCTTCTACATGATTTAATTAAGCAAGCTGTAATTGATGGTAGTGATATTTTAAACTATCAATTAAGGTAGAATGCTACACGAAAGAAAAAATATTGTCACTTATTTTTACATATTTGATGTATCATGTTAGAAAGATAAAGAAGATGAATTAAAAATATAGGGTCACTATACTCGGTTCAGAGAAAATCATTCAATAACATGCCATTAAAATTGTATGTTTTGTCGTTTTTAGGACAATTTATCATTGTTTCCTGTTTTCATGATGGTGATTGCTATAAATACACCAATTTAATATTTATTTCTTACAGAAATTACGTTGTATTATCTGTAGGTCATGGACGATGGCCGTTGTTTATTGGATGTTATAAAGTAAGTGAAGGAATAGTAAATGATGGTATAATTTCTCTGAAAATAAATTGTTAATTATTTACGCTGACATCGTGGCTACTTCCTGCTTTTTAGCCTATAGTATAATGCGAATATTAACTCTGTCCCTAATGATTTCCAACTATTTTACTACTCTGAATTTAAAAAGAAAAGAAAAAAAACTGGCATGCCTGGAAGAGGGATGAATTTATTTACCTACATGCCAAGTTTGTTTTGTATCTGTTTTGTGTTGATAGTAATTAATGCTTCAGCCATGTACACTATACTGAACATGAAATACAAGATTTCTGGGGTATAAGTACTTTGCTGTTATCGACTGCATGACATTTGTTTCTTCAGCAGGGTACCTATATTGACTGGAGCAACCCACTGTAGAGATGAAAGAGTTCCTCTTCGATGTTACCAGGTGTGGATAAATTTAAAAAAATAAACTCGTTTCATCAGCTCCAGTGGAAATTCTAAGCAGGAATTACATACAATTGTAGTTCCCTTTTTTTATAAAATAAGGACAGCATGAGATTCCTAATGATTGCGACAATCCTTCTAACTTTATCATAATTTGTATCTGTTGGTCTTGATAACAATGAAGTACATATGAATGATACATTATTTTCTTACTGTGTTAAGTGCATTTTTGTCTACTGAAAACATAGCAGCCATCTCCCATAAGAATACTTTCATGGGGTGGCGACTCATAGCTCGGAAATCCTGTTACTGCATGTTTGGTGTGTAATGGCAATAACTCGGCTTTCAGTTGTTTGTCTGAAATTTGCCCTGTATTTGCATTGGGTCCTCTCTTGCAACTCTTGGCATGTTATTTACAAGGCATATGCACGCATTTCATAACATCTTGTACTGCTCTGTTGGTTAACTGGAGTATTGTAACTTCTATTCTGCCTATAACACGGATTGAACACAATTTTTGTCTCTTTTAATATTCATTCAGCAGCTGAAAGTTGAGTAGGGGTATGTAAAGTGGGGGTATCATTTGCATGCCACTGGAGGGAGCTGTTTGTGGGTGGATAGAGGGTAGAACATTATAGCTGCAAAGTGTGACATGATTATGCTTTGTGTCGTGGACACAAATATGTTAGACAATTTAGTGAGTCTTCGGTTATCTAAGGCAGTGTTTATGCAACTTTGTTTTGAAACACATTCAATACTTTTTAAATTTTTCATCACAGTGATCCCCAGGCCTTGGATGACTTCCTGAAACAAAATGATGACGCTCTTAGTCAAGAGATAGATGCAGCTCACACATTCAGCAGTGCTACTGTCACTACTCCAACTGCCACCTTCCAGCAGCATAATCAGGTGACTATGCATAAATATTTGTATCATATTGTATTTTAATAGCTGCTGATTTAATTTCAATGAAATTGAGTATCAAGGTGACTTGATTTGACTCTGTGCTTTTTCACTCAGTTTGTACTGACCAAATGTAGAAAATTTCGGCTATCTTTTTAGCTCCGCTGTCGACTTTGTCGAGCGGAGCTTATCATATGAGTGATTGTCCATTTCATGTTGATATCTTCAATTCTCTAATTTTGGTGAATATTTTTGTAATTTTTGGTAAAAAGTGATATTTTCGACTTCTTGTTAAAAACCAATAGTTCAATTGCTTTGATATTACATATATAGATACTACATGTAGACCTTTCTCAGATTTGTTCAATTTGTGATGATATCTTCAATTCTCTAATTTTGGTGAATATTTTTGTCATTTTTGGTAAAAAGTGATATTTTCGACTTCTTGTTAAAAACCAAAAGTGCAATTGCTTTGATATTACATATATAGATACTACATGTAGACCTTTCTCAGATTTGTTCATTTCGTGATGATATCTTCAATTCTCTAATTTTGGTGAATATTTTTGTAATTTTTGGTAAAAAGTGATATTTTCGACTTCTTGTTAAAAACCAATAGTTCAATTGCTTTGATATTACATATATAGATACTACATGTAGACCTTTCTCAGGTTTGTTCAATTTGTGATGATATCTTCAATTCTCTAATTTTGGTGAATATTTTTGTCATTTTTGGTAAAAAGTGATATTTTCGACTTCTTGTTAAAAACCACAAGTCCAATTGCTTTGATAGTATACATATTGTTAATTTTTAGTCCCCGTTTGGACGAAGTCCGAAAACGGGGACTTATAATTCGGTCTCCGTGTGTCTGTGCGTCCGTCCAGAGTCAAATCTCAGAATCCCTTGGACCGATTCTGTTCATTCTTTGCATGTGCCTAGTACTTTATGTGGGACATATGCACATGCAGTGGTTTAGCGATTCGATTCAAAATGGCCGACTGGCAGCCATCTTGTTTTTTGAAAATGTTGTATTTTGGACATGCTTTGTCAGTTTTCATTCAAACTTGGTACATAGATTATACATGTTAGGATACATGTCCATGATGATTTATTTCACAATTGGATCAAAGATGGTCGACTGGTAGCCATCTTGTTTTTTGAAAATATCGTATTTTGGACATTCTTTGTCAGTTTTCATTCAAATTTAGTACATAGATCATACATGTTAGGATACATGTCCCTGACCGTCCGTGAGTTCCTGAGTCTGTCCCTCCGACAGTCCGTGTGTCAGTCTGTCCGTGCGTCAGTCTATCCAACGTCATATTTCAGAATCCTGTGGACTGATTCCGTTCATTCTTTGCATGTGCCTAGTACCTTATGTGGGACATATGCACATGCAGTGGTTTAGCGATTCGATTCAA